GCGGGTACTGAGCCTGCGGGTACTGAGCCTGGGGGTGCTGCTACTGAGCCTACGGAGCCTCGGGTTACTGCGTCTGGGGGTGCTCCGGTTCGGGGTGCTGAGCAGTCTCTCACACCGCAGCAGCTTCGTGACTGGTACGTCCGACGCTTTCGCCGTCCTAGTGGCTCGGCTGGAGTTGGGGGTGCTGGAGCTGCTCGTCCTGGGGGTGCTCGTACTGGGGGTACTGGAGCTGCCGGGACTGGCTGTTCTGGGAGCACTGCGACTGGAGCTGCTGGAGCTGGGGACTCTGGCGCTGGCGGTGCTAGCGGAGTTGGAGCTGCCGACTCTGGGGGTGGCGCTGCTGCTGGTGCTGCGGACCCACCTGGTGGAGCTGCTGCTGGTGCTGAGGAGTCGGACGGTGGAGCTGCTGCTGGAGCTGGGGACCCGGCCGGTGGAGCTGCTGCTGGTGCTGTGGACCCGGACGCTGGAGCTCCTACTGGTGCTGAGGACCCGGCCGCTGGAGTCCCTTCTGCTTCTGGAGACGCTGCGCGGCCGCGACCGTACTTCGTACCGCTCCTTCAGCAGGTTCTTGGGCAGGCTCCTCCTCCTTGTCCTCCTCCCTCCGTAGAGTGTCCTCCGCCTGTCCAGCCGCAGTCACAGTTACCGCCTGCCTCGCCTCTCCCTGCTCCCTCTCCTTATACTGGTCCCACAGGAGGTCTTACAGAGCGTCGTGAGCCTGAGTCTCGTCCTGCGTCGCCTGTTCGTCCTGCTCGCACTGGTAGTCGTGTCCGTCGTGAGCGTCCTCCTCCTGTCCCAGGCACTCACTACATGACTCTGCGTCCCTCTACTGCTCCTCGGCGTGTCCCTCTACCGTCTCCTCCTGAGTCCTCTTTGCCTGCCGTTCCGGACCCTGAGTCTGACCGGTATCGCGCTGAGCACCCTACAGTCACGCGTCTCCTCGCTACTGTTGTCACTGACCCTACCTTTGAGTCCTCGGCTGCGTCTGCTCTGGTCGCTGAGTTGGTTGACTTTGCTGCTGCCTGTCGTCTAGACTACGCTGCTAGCCTTGTTGCTGAGTCAGAGTCTGCGTCTGTCTGTCCTCCGTCCGTCGGGGGTGAGTCTGCTCTTGGCACGGACGTCCTTGAGGACAGGCAGGAGGACTTTGACTCTCTTGCGGCTGCTGTACCTCATCTCGTGGCCTGGTTGCTTGCCCCTGAGGGAGACCCGGATGCACTAGACATCCCCACTCCGCGCACTTACGCAGAGGCGATCTCGGGTCCCTACTCCTCTCAGTGGCAGTCAGCCATGGACGCAGAGATGGCATCCTGGAAGTCCACAGGCACCTACGTCGACGAGGTTCCCCCTCCTGGGGCGAACATCGTCGATGGCATGTGGATTTTCAGGGTGAAGCGGCCGCCAGGTTCTCCGCCTGTCTTCAAGGCTCGTTACGTTGCTAGAGGCTTCAGTCAGCGTCAGGGGGTCGACTTCTTCCAGACCTTCTCTCCCACCCCGAAGATGACCACTCTTCGGGTTCTGCTGCACGTTGCTGCTCAGCGTGACTACGAGCTTCACTCTCTTGACTTCAGCACAGCGTTCCTGCAGGGCAGCCTGCACGAGGAGATCTGGCTGCGCCACCCACCTGGCTTTACTGGGTCGTTTCCCCCTGGTACCCAGTGGAGCCTCCGCCGGCCAGTCTACGGTCTCCGCCAGGCGCCACGTGAGTGGCACGACACACTGAGGACTACACTTGCGGCTCTTGGGTTCGCGCCGTCTACTGCTGACCCGTCGCTGTTTCTGCGCACAGACACGTCGCTGCCGCCGTTCTACATTCTCGTGTACGTCGACGACTTGGTCTTTGCTACTGCTGACACTGAGGCACTCGCTCGTGTGAAGTCGGAGCTGCAGAAGAGACGCACGTGCACTGACCTGGGTGAACTGCGTAGCTACCTTGGCTTGCAGATCACCCGGGACAGAGCTCGCCGCACCATCACCCTGACTCAGTCACACATGGTGCAGCAGGTCCTTCAGCGCTTCGGCTTCCAGTTCTCCTCACCTCAGGCCACACCTCTGGCTACCAGCCACTCGCTCTCAGCTCCACCTTCGGACGAGTCCGTAGAGCCGAGTGGCCCGTACCCAGAGCTTGTAGGCTGCCTCATGTACCTGATGACTTGCACGCGACCTGACCTCGCGTACCCTCTTAGCATCCTTGCTCGTTACGTTGCGCCTGGGAGACACAGGCGAGAGCACTGGGAGGCTGCTAAGAGGGTGCTGCGTTACCTGTGCAGTACATCAGGTATGGGGCTGGTGCTTGGAGGACGCGACAGAGTTGTCCTCACTGGTCACTCGGACGCCTCTTGGGTGGACGACCTGGCTACGCAGCGGTCGTCACAGGGTTACACCTTCAGCCTTGGCTCAGGTTCTGTCTCGTGGCGGTCCACCCGCTCTTCCTCTGTTCTCGGCTCTAGTTGTGAGGCTGAGATCTACGCCACAGCCATGGCTGCACAGGAGTTACGCTGGCTCACCTACCTGCTGACTGACTTGGGAGAGCGGCCTAGTTCTCCTCCAGTTCTGTACGGTGACAACAAGGCGGCTCTTGCCTTGTGTCAGGAGCACAGACTGGAGCACAGGACGAAGCACATTGCTCTTCGCTACTTTCTTGCTCGAGAGCTTCAGCAGCGCGGTCAGCTTCGGCTTGTGTACGTGGACTCGAAGGCCAACACTGCTGATATCTTCACCAAGGCGCTCCCGCCTAGTGATCATCAGCGGCACTGTACTTCTTTAGGCCTTGTGTCCACGTTTCCTCACTTGCTCACTGCTTGACATTCTTTGTACTGTACTTTATATATATCTTGTTGCTTGCTTGCTAGGTTTTGATCACTGTGTTGCTTGTCTTGTACTATATCTAGCATTGCATGTGAACTGGCCTTGTGGCCTTTACTTGTGCTCGGAGTGTGGTGACGTTGTGATCCACCCTGGGCTTTGTTTTGCTTTGCTGGACTGGTCTTGTGACCCTTTGTGCTCCCCCACTTTGCCTATGGGGGTGTGTTAAACTGTATTATGCTTGTAGGCTGTAGTGGGGTAGCCAATATGGGATACAACCCCAACTAGGGTTTCATATTTGTACCCAAACTTCTGTTAGTTCATTCATTCTTGCCTAGTTATTCTGAAACTCCCCCATGTCTACTATGAAGCGCACTTCCAATTTGGGCCTGCTTCTATTGCAACCATTAGGGTCTCCATCCAATCTCATACTCTTCAGTTCTAAGATGTGTCTCCAATCTCATACTCCTTACAGGTATTTGGTCTGATTTTCGACGTGAATTTCCATACCAGCTTTAAGTTTCCGGATCAAATCAGCCTTTATGAGGGCCTGAACCCCGATCTCAGGCCTAGGGATAAGGTAGGTCTCACTTGTTAGCGTACATCTTTTATAATTGGCGTATTGCCATGGCAGCTGCGTCTTATACGTCAACAACGTCACTGAATGCTGGCGGTAACGTGATATCGAAACACCTTACGAGGTGGCAGATTTTTCTGCTGATCTGTTTGCCTCTGGGCCCCTTTCAAGAACCACAGGAGCTGCCAATTTCTGTGGTCGAGGATGCCGTCGGACTGGATGGGTTCAAATGGATGCGTGCGCAGGGAAGAGGTTGCTGCCGTATGTGGACTGGGTGGACGTGGTCAGAGTGATCTTGATCAGGAATGACGTCAGGAACGATGGCGTGATGATTGAAGTCACGTGATGCCTGCTGAGCCCTTCAGATTCCTTTTTGGCCTAGAGTGAAGTTTTGCGGTCTGTTAGGGCTGTGATGCTCGACCTTCCAGTGTGAACTGTGGTACATTATACGGCACAGATGTACTATATTCAAAGTTTAGTAACAAACTACCACACATGCACAAAGATTCGGTTAGTGTTTTGAAACTTTGTCACTCGAGCTACTTTTCACAGCATTTTTAGACAGTCTTGGAGTGAAACCATTCAACACAGCTTCACGAATCACGACTTCGTTTCAATGGTCCTCTGGTCCGAGCAATCGCACGGGGATCAGCACTACGGACATGTTGGTGATCTGCCATCGTGCAGCGCGCCAAGCGGAGTCGTGAAACATTTTTTTCTGCCCTAAACTTCCTTCGCAGGACGTTTGACGATCACCCCGATGTTTGTCAGCAGTCCCTGACGATGACACCAACAATGAGACTGGGTCACAATTGGCTACGGTTACGCGTTGAGCGAGGGCGAAACAACACACTCGCAAACTTTCACCGTCGCAGGATTCCATGCGACCAGTATCGGAATCGATCGAAAGGTATCTATAGTCGCAAAAGCCGTCGCAAAAGCCGTCGCAACAGAAGCAGTCATTTAGTCCAGCAAAACATACATCCGCCACCGCCATTCCCCAACCAACCAACTTCCATCCATGGCATCCCTCCTGTTCGTCCTGCATCTTGCTTGCCTTTCCAGTCTCCACCCCACTCCATCCCTTCTCACTCCTTCTCGTCCCAGTCCACCCCGTTTCTCCCCTCTCTTCTCCTGTCCCCTTTCTCTCAGCTTCTACCCTCCTTGTCAGGCAATCCCACTTGTTTACCCTGTAGGGCTTTCACCTGCTTCTCCCTCTTAGTGCCAGGACACAGATGTGACACACTCCTTTTCTCCTTTCTCACCTTCGCTTCACTCTAGCAACTATCTGTCCTGCGGGATTGTTTGATCAGTAACATCAGAAATCAGTGGACGTTTTTGCTACAGCTCATCCGTAGCGTTATATCGATCATAATAGCAATTGTGCATCGGGTATTGAACGACTCCAGTTTTATACTACTACCTAACCCAGAGTCTGCAGTCATTACTCATCTCTGCTTTTCGCAGTCCTACGCACTCGTTTTCTCACCGCAATATATTCTCAAGCTGCTATCTATAACGTTATCGTTGTCGCGCTACAGTACTTCCTGGTCGACTCGGTGTCATTGTCACGTCAGGAGCAACCAGAACAATGGCCTGTGTTTTGAATGCCAGGACCGGTCAGATGGGAGCCACTGACGTTGACAAGGATGTGAGCCAGTCAGCTTCTGGCAACGCTCTCAGGGAACGATCCAGTGCCGACTACGGTGCTTACCTGGGTGTTCGCGAAACCGCGATCGCGAAGAAGCATCCCGTTTTGACGAAAAAGAATGGGAGTAAGGTTGACCTGAAGGCAAAAGCTCGACGATCGTCGAACGTCGCCGAGGCAACCCTGGCAGTTGAAGCTGATACTGCTTCTCAAGGGGATGGCAGCAAGGGTACTGAAGCAGGATCGATGAGCTCTTGCTTGGTTGAGGAGCGTCCGGTAGGAGCCGTTGAATCAGACGGAGCTTCTGTGAAAGACATTGCAGTTGATCATGCGCTTCAAGTCCGGGCTAAGATTGGGAATGCGTGTGAAGTCAGTCCGGAAATGTTGGACGGGTGCGATATCTCCACTTGGCCTGATTTCTCCGTCGATCCTCTAGGAGCCGGCGAAATTGACGATCTTGATGTACCTGGTAATTTGGGTAACCTGGTGTTACCCGATCCTGAGGATGCGCTTCTGGACAAGCCGTCCGGCGAAGCGACTGAAGTGAAACGTGAACCTGCTGTTACCGAAGATGTTCGACCGTCGGAGACGTTTCAATCAGATTCTCACCTGAATGAGCAAAGCGACATGACTTCCAAGGACACCAGCAAGAGTCCAGCGCAGAAGAAAAAGCCCAAGGTCAGTTAAAATCCTTGCTTTCTTGTTGTGAATGCGTGGTGAGCTTCATGGGTCTGATGGGCTTTGTTCCTGTTGACATTGATCGATCAACGACAGGTTATTCCTTTGCAATGTGCGTCGCCGATTTGTCCAACTATGATTTTGGCATTCCGTCAGAACATCGCAGCTCACTTTCCCTCGATGCCATCATTCCGAATCTCCCCATTCGCATCGCCTCTGTTCCACATTCAGGTGGATTGGACGCCGGAGCTTCACAGAAGATTCGTGCAAGCGGTGGAGCAGCTAGGAGTGGACAAGGCCATTCCGTCCCGCATTCTCGAGCTCATGGGCGTCAAGTCCCTCACTCGCCACAACATCGCCAGCCATCTCCAAAAGTACCGCTCGCACCGCCGCCATCTCGCCGCCCGGGACGCGGAAGCCGCCAACTGGAACACCAACCGCGCACCCGCCGATTCCGGCGCTTCTGCCGGTGCCTGGCCGGCCGCTGCTGCCGCTGCTTCTGCGCCGGCGGGAACGCCTGGAGCATCGGGAGCCACGTGGGGTTCCGGAGCACCCGCTGCGGGTGCGGCCGTTAGCGTTGGTGGTACTCCGGCGAATGCGGTAGCAAATGGCGTTCCCAATGCGGCTCCGGGTGGTGTTTCGCATGGGGTTCCGACCGGTCATCCTGCTGCCATGATGCCGCCGCGTCAAATGCCCGGCATGATGCCGCCGTGCCCGCCTATTCCGTTCCGCCATCAGCCGTACGGCAACATGCCGATGATGCATCCGCATCAATCGTCGCCTGGCATGAGCCCGATGATGCCGCACCCGCCGCCGGCCATGGGCATGCCGGTATGGGGCCATCCAACGTCGGGGGGAGCGTCGCCAGGCGGTTTTCCGCGGCCGCACATGTGGGGACATGTGCAGCAGCAGCAACAGCAGCAGCAGCCGCAGTGTCAGGGACAGCAGCAGCCGCAGCAGCAGATGCAGCCGCGCGTGGCGGCGTACCCGCCTCCCTCGTGGCTAGCTGTGGATGGTTCCTCTCCGTGGCACCACTACCCTGCGGTAAGATAACTTCTTTGAGCTTTCAATCTCTTCTCACAAATTGTTCGTCATTGTATCTACACACCCCAATGCCCTCCCGATCCGCATCCCACTCTTTCCCCCCCCCCCCCCCCCAACCCCAGCTTACTCGCTCTTCACCCTGCTTCTCGTCTCCTTGCTCCTATCCGTTTCTCGCCCCTCTTCCGCGATTTCGGCAATCAATTTGTTGTCAATTACTCTCTTTTCTCCCCTTCCCCCTCCCCTTCCCCCTCCCCTTCCCCCTCCCCTTCCCCCTCCCCTTCCCCCTCCCCTTCCCCCTCCGCTTCCCCCTCCCCTTCTCCCCCCCACCCCCTACTACGCCCCACCCACCCCTCCCACGGCCCACCCACCTCCCCTGCGCTACTCTTCCCCCCTGCAGTTCCCCGCGGGTCCTCCCCCGATGGACGCGTGGCCCCATCCTGGCATGCCAGCCCGCGGAATGCCATGCTTCCCCCCGCGCCAGCACCAGCACCCGCTCAGCTACCCCATCCCGCCCAACGGCCCTCCCAACGGGGCCCCCAACGGCGCTCCCAACGGTCCTCCCCGCATGGTCTGCGGCGCGCCCGTCTGTCCGCCTAACGGCATGCCGCCTAACGGTTATCCGCATAACGCCGCGCCGTCCTCTGGAAGCCACGCGAACGGGGGCCCTGCCATGATGCCGCCGCCCCCCTTCTTCGGGATGCCCATGATGCCCGGCCTCCCGCACGCGCCCGGGTTCGGGCCATCTCCTGCGCACGGGTGGGGCATGGGGGGAATGTTCTCTGGAGCGGCGGGCGGAGCGGGAGGAGGGGGAGCGGGCGGGGACGGGGGCGCGGGTGACGCGGCGCATGTGGCGGACGAGGCGATGCCGAATCCCATGTTTCCGCTCTCGGATGATTTGACGGTGGACCTTGCTGCGATTTCCGCTAGCATCGGCGACGACCTTCATGAGGTGAGCTGGAGATGCGTGTTGGGGTGTGTGCACTGAATGTCGGAAATCGCATTGTTTTGTGCTGCAAGGGGGCCGGGGAGCGGGGGGGTGGGGGGTGGGGAGCGGGGAGCGGGGAATGGGGAAGGCAGGGGCATGTGCTGAATGTTTGTCGTTCGCATTCTCATGGCAACGACATCCGTGTTGTTGCTATCAGCAATGCTCTCGTGAACCCCCAGACAGTGCCGCCCCTGGGCCTCAAGCCCCAGAGGGTCTTGTTGTCAGCTGACTCTTGTACCCAATTCTTCCCCTCTCCCTTCTCCACCCGTACCCTCTTTTCCCCCTTCTCCCCTTCCCCCCTCTCCCTCCTGCTCCTCTCCCAGGCCAACGACATTCTAGACGCGGCAATCAGTGAGGCTCTCACCAACCCTGCCACGCCGCTGCCGCTGGGCCTCTAACCACTGAAGGTCTTGCTGTCACGTCACTCAACTCATGGACCCATTTTCCCCATCTGCCCCCCTCCCTCCGCTCCTCTCCCAGGCCAACGACATTCTCGACGCGGCGATCAGCGAGGCTCTCACCAACCCCGCCACGCCACTGCCGCTGGGCCTCAAGCCCCCCTCGCTGGACGGCGTTTTAGACGAGCTCAACCGCCAGGGCATCCGCATGCCCGCCTCCGCTGCCGCCACTGCCGCTGCTGCGGCAGCAGCAGGTGCTGGTGCTGATGGTGAGATTGTTGTATCCGCTGCCGCTGCCGGCGCGGATGGAGCACCAAACGCTTTTGGTACTCTAGCCGATGCGGACATCATTACTGCTGCTGCTGGTGTTGATGGTGATGGTGACGACGAGGGTATCCTATCGCTGACGGACTATCCCGCTGGGCTCTTCTGCTCCGCAGAGGCCATGGCAGCTGCTGCCTCGTTCCTCAAGGAAGAAGCTGTGTAGGTTATGGCGGTTCGCACCAGACTCGGGTGCAAACAGGAGACTGAGTTCTGTGGTTCTAGATTTCTGGAGGGGCGAATGTGGCAACGCCAGCAGTAGTTTGAAATGTCTGAACTCTCTTTGGAGTGACAGGAGGTAGCAACGACAGGCGACAATGCAAGCCGATTGCCATAGAACAGCTTCAAGTCTCTCTGGTGGTCCAAAACCCTAAACCCCTCAGTCATTTCACAGCATGCACTCGGTGGGTTTGAATGGCAGGCGGGGTTTCGGCTAGAGACACCTCTTTCCCATCAAACTTCCTGCCTGAGAGCAGGCAGCAGCTAGGTGGTTTGTAGCAGTATCTGGGGCTATCTGGAGCAGCAGTTGCAGCTGTGGCTGGGCGTACAAACAGATGCTTCTAATAAGTTACCATGTTTCGCGTCTCCAGTTTCTCTGGCCTTGCAGGCTGGCTTTCTCAGGACGTCTTGCACAGCTCCTTACAAGAAAGGAGGTGCGGCTGCACAGGAGAAACCCTATGCTGACAGTGTGCAACTGACACCTGCTCGCTCTGCCGAAGTGTGCCTTGAGCCAAAGGCAAAGGGCAATCGCTGGTGAAGCAGAGCAGTACCCAAGAGGGCGTCTTTTTGGGCGCAGAGCGAGATGTGGAATGAAAGTAGTCAGTCACTCGCCCCCAGGGTGCTGTTGGGGTTTTCCCTTGCGTTTTTTCCCTTTCATCCCTCTCTAGGTGGCCCTTTTTTGTAGTTCACTACTTTTTTCCACTTCTCTTCGATATTACCGTAGCTGCTTTGTCAAATGGGTTGGGTTAGTCTCTAACTCATCCCCTGAATTTTTCCTTCGTGTACACACATCCAAACAAATGTTATACCGTGCCATATGTTCAGGTTACGGTACCATTGGAGTCAGTGTTAAACCAGCATGGATAGAGTAGGTATCTGCTTCTCTCACATCACTTCTCAGACTATATGCACTAGGGGCCAAATACAACTGACCCCCCCACCAAGAAAATTGCATTAGTAACTGTCCCAGGTGTCGCACAGAACACATCGTACACGAAAACACCATCCAAGACAACCTTGTAGCCTTTGCACAAATGCAAATCATCCCTTCACAACCCGTGCCAAGGCTAGTTCCAGCTGTGGACGCAGCTTCCCCAGCATTATCTTGAACCCAGCCGAACACCCATCGTCACCTCCACCACCACTCTGCACCGCATCCGCTAGCCTAGCACCTCCCTGCTGTCCCAGCGACCCCTCCTGCTGCTGACCACCTTCAGAACCACTCATGCTGTCAGAGTCGGGTCGGCTTGTGTTGTACTTAGCAGCTGAGTTGTCCTGAGTAGTTGGGCTTGTGTCTTTGACAACAGCCGGGCTTGCCTTGCTTGCAGCCTTGAGTGGACACACCTTGGCCCCTCGGGCGTAGGTGTCGCACAGAGCAAGGATGGCGGCAGCATGCTGTTTGAAATGCAGCACCACCAGGGGCTCGAAATGCTGGTGTGAGGGGAAGGGGAGGGGGGGAAACAGAACTTGTTGTTTCTTTGGCTGTGGCCGGGCTTGCCTTGCTTGCAGCCTTGAGTGGACACACCTTGGCCCCTCGGGCGTAGGTGTCGCACAGAGCAAGGATGGCGGCAGCATGCTGTTTGAAATGCAGCACCACTAAAGGCTCGAAATGCTGGTGTGCTGGGAGAGGAGTCAGAGAAATTGTGATGAGACAAGCCATTTTCGCAAATTCCAACCCCTCTGGGCGTATGTGTCGCACAGGGCAAGCATGGCGGCGTGCTGCCTGGAATGCAGTGCCACTAGGGGCTCGAAATGCTGCTGTGCGGGCGAGGAAGGCTTGTGTATGTGTCACACAGGGCATGGATGGCAGCAGCATGCTGCCCAACGCACCTTGGAAGGGTTAAGAATGGAGTAGACCAACGTACCCTCCCACATCAGCCCAACCGTCATAAGTCACCACATCACAACGTACCTTGGGGGGGTTGCGGATGGAGTAGATCATGGTCTTCGCTGACAGCAGGAAGGCATTCTCGTTGTCGCAGCAATCCGCACTCCTCTCCCCCTCTGCGCTGCCCCTCTGCACTCCCCCTCTGCGCTGCCCCTCTGCACTCCCCCTCTGCGCTGCCCCTCTGCACTCCCCCTCTGCGCTGCCCCTCTGCACTCCCCCTCTGCGCTGCCCCTCTGCCTCTATAGAGTCGAATCAAAAGCTATCATGTCAGCACATACCTTGGGGGGGTTACGGATGGAGTAGATCATGGTTTTGGCTGACAGCAGAAAGGCGCTTTCATTATAGAGATCCGCATCCCTCTCCCCCACTGCGCTCCCCCTCTACGTCTCATACTCCCCTTTGTTGAAAAGCCTTTGAGTCGCCTCAAATGTCACCATGTGAAAAGGTATCTTGGGGGGCTTGCGTATTCAGTAGATGATCAAGGCTTTGGCCGACAAGAGAAAGGCACTTTCATTGTATAGATCCGCGTTCCTCTCCCCCTCTGCTCATCTAGTCACGTCCTCCACGTACCTTGGGGGGGTTGCGAATGGAGTAGATCATGGTTTTGGCCGACAGCAGGAAGGCACTTTCGTTATAGAGATCCGCGTTCCTCTCCCCCTCTGCACTGCCCCTCTGCCTCTCATACCCCGCCTCGTTGAAATACGGCCGCGGCACGAGCACAAGGCCTTGGATTGACACGAGGACCTGGGAGGGATGGGGGGGGGAGAGGATAGGGGGGAGAGAGGATAGGGGAGCAGGGAACAGCAAAAATCCAAAATTGACGAGGCAAAATTGACGAGGCAGGGTTCCAGACCTCCGTGCCCTTGCCACTCCACGTGTTGAGCAGAGAAAGGCACACCTTGCAACTGATTGCATAATAACTCGTTTTGGCAGTTTTGCACCTTTGTTGCAGCCTCACACATACCTGCAGAATGGACGAGCCTGGGTTCCAGACCTCCGTGCCCTTGCCACTCCACGTGTTGAGTTCGTTCAATAAAGACAAACACACCTCGCAAATGATTGTCAATTACGAACAAAGAAGCTTGCCCCTTCCTCGCACACACATGCGCACCTGCAGAATGGACGAGCCCGGGTTCCAGACCTCCGTGCCCTTGCCACTCCACGTGTTGAGCAGCGATAGGCACACCTTGCCATTCTCGTACAGGTTCGGATTCACCCTGAGACCTCCTGAGTGATAGTGGACGGACTGGCAGGGAGGGGAGGGAGACGGAGGGGCACGCGTCAAGCAGCGAGGGTGACAGGCAGGCACACCTTGCTGTTCTCGTACAGGTGTTTGGGTTCACCCTGAGGCCGCCTGAGTGGTAGTGCACGGACTGGCATGGAATGGGGAATTGGGAGGAAGAGAGGAGGTGCGGCTTTGAGCAGCGACAGGCACACCTTGCTGTTCTCGTATAGGTTTGGGTTCATGGTAATGCACGGACTGGCAGTGAGGAGTCGGGAGAGGAAGAGGTGAGGAGGAAGGGAGGACGGGAGGTTGATAGATAGCACACACTCCACGTGTTGAGCAGCGACAGGCACACCTTGCCGTTCTGGTATAGGTTAGGGTTCACCCTGAGGCCGCCTGAGTGGTAGTGCACGGACTGGCAGAGGGGAAGGGGGGAGGAAAAGCGTAGGGGAGGGGGAGCAGGGGTTGTTAAATAGCACACTCCACGTGTTGAGCAGCAAAAAGGACACCCTGCTGTTCTCATGGAGATTAGGGTTCACCCTCAACCCGCCGGAATGGCGGGTTTTGAGGCGCCTCAAAACGAGATTAGGGTTCACCCCCAACCCGCCTGACTGGCGTGGCGGGTGGGAGCCAGAAGTTGAAGGAAGAAGAGCCCGAGGTGGTAAGGGGCGGCGTGAGGGCTGGAAGGGGTTCTCATTTCACGCACCGGTGGCACAGCAGGGTAGTAGGGGGGAGCCAGAAGTTGAATAAAGAAGAGCCCGAGGTGGTAGGGGCATGTTAGGATTGTGGTGCCTTACGGTAAGCGTGTTTCAAGATACACACTCACAGGAGGCACAGCAGGCAGGGTAGTCGGGTGGAAGCCATACGTCAAAGAAGAAAAGCCCGAGGTGGTAGGGGGCGTGTGGCGAGACCAAAGCAGAGCATGGGTGGTTGAATCAGCCCCCAACAACATGCATCACTCACCGGCGGCACGGCGGGATAACCAGGACGAAGCCAGATGTCGAAGAAAAAGAGCCCGAGGTGGTAGGGGGTGTTGGGTGTGTGTCTGTCTCCCCTACAGTGAGTGCGGCATCACTCACTGGGGGCACAGCAGGGTAGTCGGGTGGAAGCCAGATGTCGAAGAAAAAGAGCCCGAGGTGGTAGGGGGTGTTGCGTGTGTGGTGTGGGTGGGTGTGTGGTGGTTTACAGTGAGTCAGACATACACTCACCGGAGGCACGGCCGGGTAGTCTGGTGGTAACCAGATGTCGAAGAAGAAGAGCCCGAGGTGGTAGGGGGTATCTGGCGGTCCCACTATGGCCACCCGCAGCAGATCCATTCGATCCTCATAGACACGCACAGAGATGGAGTCTGTTGAGAACGGTTTAGAGGGATGGAGAGGGGTGGAGAGAGCAGTACACAGACGAAGGGTTTGCAAGGGGCACTCGTAGCAGGTCCATTCGGCCCTCGTACACACGCACTGAGATGGAGTCTGGTGGGGAGGGGTGGAGAGCGGTGGAGGGGGGCGGAGAGGAGAGGAGCAGTACACAGGCAGAGGGTTAGATTGACTATGGCCACTCGGAGCAGATCCATTCGGTCTTCATAGACACGCACTGAGATGGAGTCTGGTTGAGGAGGATTTTAGAGTGGTGGGGATGAGTGGAGAGGGGTGAAGAGGGATGGAGGGGGGTGGGGAGGGGCGAAAGGAGCAGTACACAGGTGTAGGGTTAGCAATGGCCACTCAGAACAGATCCATGCGGTCCTCGTATACACGCACATAGATGGAGTCTGGTTGGAACGGGTGCAGAGGGGTGGAGAGTGGTGGAGAGGGGTGGAGTGGGGTGTGGAGAGGTGTAGAGTATGAGAAGGTATCCAGGCAAAGGGTTTGCAATGGCAACCGGAGCAGGTCCGTTCAGTCGTACACACGCACAGAGATGGAGTCTGGTGGGGAGGTTTGGAGAGGGGAGTAGAGGGGTGGAAAGGGGTGGAGAGGGCTGTGAGGAGCTAAAGGTGGTGGGTTTGCAAGGGCCACTCTAAGCGGATCCATTCATGCAGTTCGCATGTAGAGAGGAAGAGGAGGAGGGAGAGTGGCACATGTGTACACATGCATGGGGGGAAGCGACATGTAGAGAGGGCAAGTTGGATCGGAAAATATTCTGTGCCTAGTAGGCTGGTTCGGAAAATCTTCCGTACCTGGCAGGTTGGTCTGGAGGATCTCCCAGTCCCTGTGCACTGCCTTGGCCCACTTGCGATTGCCCGGCTGCACGGGGTGAATGGGAGGAGGTGGAAAGTAAGAGGTTAATGGGAGGAGGTGAATGGGAGGAGGTGAATGGGAGGAGGTGAATGGGAGGAGGTGAACGGTAGGAGGTGAATGGGAGGAGGTGAACGGTAGGAGGTGAATGGGAGGAGGTGAAGAAATCAAGAGATGACAACTGAGGCTCCTCAAGAGGCTGAGGTGCAACAGAGGAGCTTAAGGAGAGTTGTTAAAAGGTGACAGCGCTGTTTTTGAAAATTCTCAAAAAACAACTCCAACATAGGAGGAGGAGAAGCATGGGAGGAGCAGGAGGATGACGGAGAAGCGGCAATACCTCCAGCGTGCAGCAGTGGCAGCAGCACGTCTGGGAGGCGTAGTAATGGTCAGCAGCGTTGGTCACACTGTCAAACTGCTGCCACGCGCCCCCACTCCCTCCACCTGCCGCTGCCCTTGGGAGAGGTGGCAGGAGATTGAAGGGGCATACCTGAAATGTTTGGGAGGCGTAGTAATGGTCAGCAGCGTTGGTCACGCTGTCAAACTGCCGCCATGCACCCTCGTTCCCTCCCCCTGCCGCTGCCCCTGCCTCTGCTGCTGTTGCCCTTGCCCCTGCTTCTGCCCCTGCTTCTGCCCCTGCTGCTTCTGCTTCTCCTGCTGCTGCTGCTGCTGCTGCTCCTTCCCCTCCCCCCTCCACCCCCCCTTCCCCTCCCTCTTCCTGTCTGCCTTCGACTTCTCCTTCCCCTCCCCTTGTCTCCCCCTCTCTCTCTTCCCCCAGGTCTCCCCTTGTCTCTCCGCCTCTCCCCTCCTCACCCCCCGTCCCTTCCCCTCTCCCTGTTTCTTCCCTTGTCACCACCTCACTTTCCTTGCTTTCTGCCTGCGCCGTTTCTGCCTCTGCTTCCCCTTTCACCTCACCCTGACCCTCCCCTTCTGGCTTATCAACCACAAAACCTCCGACCCCCGCACTTTTCATGATCTCATTTAACTTCTCATACCTTGCCATCTCCTCCCTCTTCAACCGCTCCTCCTCTTCTTCCCGCCTCCTCTCCACTCCCCCTCTCTCCTCCACTTCATCCCGCCTTTCCCCTTCCCCTCCTCCCCCACTCTGCTCTCCCTCCTTCCCTCCACGTCTCTCCAGCAGCGAAGCCAGACCAATCCCCGCAGAACCCCCAACCCCAGCAGAACCCCCAACCCCAGGCACCCCCAACTCCCCTTCGCCTCTACCCCTCTCTCCTTGAGTCTGCACCTCAGTAGCAGCTGCTGGTCCGTCCTCATTGCGTACTGAGGATCCATCCACAACACCTGCTGCCAAGCCTGATCCGTCCCCACTTCTCCCTCCTACCAAATCCCCCTTCGAAACACCAGACGCACTTGCTGCAATCACCCTACGCCTCTGCCCCAACCCCCCACCTGCGCCCAAACCCAAAGGCCCCTCCAAGGGTGTCCCTACCGGTTCACTTGGTGGTTCATCTGCTTCCCGCTTCTTCTCTCCTTCCTCCTGCTCTTGCTGCAGCAAACCCTTCCCCTTGCCACCCCTCTCTTGCGCGTTCCCCCCCTCCTCCTCCCCTTTCCTTCCGCCCCCGTCCTCCTCTCCTCCCTCCCTTCCACCACTTGTATTCTCCCCCCCTGTCCTCTCGCCCCTTTCAATCTTTGGTACTATCTCCTGCAGCAAGGAGATTATTGATGTCATTCCAGCAGCCAATCGCGGGAGGACAACTGACAATCCTCCCCTTGCGTCAGTCCCCGCACTCCCCTGCGCGGATTCCCCACTGCTGCCTGCCCCCCTGCTTCTCTCCCCCTCCCCCTCCCCCAACACTCCCCCTGCTTTCCTTCTCCTCCCCCTCCTCCTCCTCCCACCACTCCCACTTCCCTCCTCGCCACCCCCCTCCCTCTCCCCTTCCTCCTCTTCCTCCTCCTCCGCTTCCCCCTCGTCCCCTTCCCCTTCCCCACCTCCCCTCCCTCCCGCTCTTCCCCCTCTCCTCCCCCCTGCGCCTCTCCCGCCCCCCCACCAGTTGCGCCCTCTGCTAAACGCTTCCAGCTCATTTTTTACATTCTGCAAACCTTGCAGGCTTGCAGCTAAGTCATCCACTGCCCCTGCTCCTCCTGCTCCTGCCCCTGCTCCTGCTCCTCCTCCTATGCCTCCTCCTCCTGCCCCTCGCCCTCCTGCTGCCGCTTCTGCTACTGCTGCCACTGCAGCCATTACTCTTCTCCCTGTCGCCTCGGGGAGACTTGCAGCAGCGGCACCCGCCTGCTGTAGCTGCTGCTGCAACTCCCCCTCCTCCTCTTCCTCATCCGCTGTCTCCCACCCATCCTCCTCCTCATCCTCTGTATAAGCCTCCTCGTCTTCGTACTCGCCGTCCCCTCCATACATGTCTTCATCTTCCGGTTGTAACACATAGACAAGCGTGGGGGGAACCTGGTAGAGTGAGTGGGTATGGTGATGGACATACGAAACGGAATAGTGAGACTCCTTCATAATCTTAATCCCCTTCATACAAGTCGCCTTCATCTTCCTGTTGTAACACATAGACCTGTGTGGGGGCGGCCGCTGCACTTCTGTCCCATTCATAAGTACCCTCTTCATCTTCCCGATTAAACCCATAGACAACTGTGGGCGGAACCTGGCGGTGCAGAATGGGTATGGTGATGAGCAGAGGAAATGAAATGGTGAACTGCCTTCATACTTGTCATCCCCTTCGTACATGTCGCCTTCATCTTCCTGTTGCAACACATAGACATGTGTGGGGGGAACCTGAAGTGGGGGTGCGGAATGGGTGTGGTAGTGCATATAAAATGGAATAGTGAGCCGCCTTAATACTCTCCGTTCCATTCGTACTTAGCCTCTTCATCTTCCCGATTCAACACATAGACAAGTGTGGGCGAAACCTGGCGGTGCGGAATGGGTATGCCAATGGATATACGAAAGTGTTTAATGAAACAAGGGCAACTGGGCGAGAACATTGGGAAAATGCATGGTTATGGTAACATGGGGCATGGTGACGTGGGGCATGGTAACATGGGGCATGGTAACATGGGGCATGGTAACATGGGGCATGGTAACATGGGGCGTAGTAACGCACCTGGGAGATAGAGCCATCAGCCCATGCAACGGTGAGAAGGCCATGGCGCATGGCAGCAATCTCGCCCACCCATGACGCATCCACGCTCCCACCACCCGCATCCCCACCATCACCCCCCACCTCTCCCTCCTCTCCCTCCTCCGCCTCCTCCCAATCACCTGATCCCTCCTCCTCTTTCCCTTCCTCCTCCTCTTCCCCTTCATCCTCCACTTCTTCTTCCTCCTCTTCCGCTTCCTCTGTCACCTTCTCCCTCTCCTCTCTCTCTGCTACGTCATCCTGTCTCATTTCACTCCCCTCCTCTCCTCCCTCCTTCCCTTTCACTTCCCCTCCCTCCCCCTCCCTGTCTGCAACCGTCCCATTATTCCTTTCCCCCCGCTCCTCCTCCTCCCCTTTCCCACCTTCCCCTCCCTTATGATCCACCCTTTCCTCTCCTAGTCCTTCCTTCTCCTCTCCCTTCTCCTTCCCTGCCTCCTCCCCTGCCTTTTCCTCTGCCGCATTCCCCGTCTCCCCTCCTGTCTCTGCTTCCAGCCTAACAACAACATCCCCAAGCCTGAAATTCCAATCCGGATGCTCCGCCAACTCATACACCGCAGCCAACTCCTCCTGAAACTCCACCACCCCGCCCCACCCCGCCGCACCCCCACCCTCCATTCTCCCCACCCTTCCATCCCCATCCTCCCCATTTTCCCCCGACTCTCCCGCCCTGCTCTCCCCGTTAGCCCTAGCCCAGGCGACAATGGCAGTACGCTGCTTATAATCCACCGTTTTCACGTACCCCACTCGCCCCCACGGCCCTCGCACTAACACGGAGAGGGGGGTGGGTGCCACGGGAACAGGGCGCGTAGGGAAGGCAGCAAGAAGGGCGGAAGAGTTTTTTATTACTTCAGCTGCTGCGTCTATTGCTGTGCGTGCTGCTGCCTCTGTTGCAGCGTCGGCTCCTGTGAGTGCTGCTGCCTCTGCTACTGCCGCTGCTGCTTCCACTGCTGCCGCATCTACTTCTGCCGCCTTTTCAGCTGCATCTACTGCTGCTGCTGCTACTTCCCCCCCTGCTGCGTCTGCTGATAAAACTGCAGGAACCGTCACCAGAGCATGAGAAGGAGCATCAGCATGAGCATCAGCAGCAGAAGCATCAGCAGAAGCAGCGGCAGCAGCAGAAGCATCAGCAGAAGCAGTGGCAGCAGCAGAAGCAGCGACAGCAGGAGGAGGAACGCCAACAGCATCAGCAGCGGAGGTCAGAAGAGCAACCAGATCCGCTGCAGCGCCACTCATCCCCCTCTCTCCGCCTCCCCCTCCTCCCCCATCCCCAGCCCCCAGCCCTCCTTCCCCTCCTGCTTCCCCTCCCCCTCCATTCCCCATCCCCATCCCTGCACCCTCTCCTATCCCCTCATCCCCATGCTTTTCCACCACATAATCCTCGGGCCAAAAGTCGTGTTCACCCAGATTTTCCACGGGTATTAAATCGCACGCGTCGATGCCCCTCTCCTCGCGCCCATCCTGCCACGTGACAGCCACGTGGGTGCACGTGCGCACCACCACTGGCGCTCGCTCCACGCCCTTGGGGGTTTTGTGAGGGTTTTTCTTCTTGGAGTTTGACTTTTTGCCCCTGCCTCGACGCCAGAAAAAGAGGTTGCTGTTACTCCTGCTGCTGCCAGCAGTATTGCCGCCACTGCTGCCAGTGGTGGTGTGGCTTGTTGTGCCAGTGCTGCCACCACCAGAGTCAATAAGAGGATCCGTCTCCCCTGCCTCTCCCGCTCTCGCTCCCTCTTCCTCTTCCCTCTCCCCTTCCCTCTTCTCCACCCTCCCCTGATCCCGTCCCCCTTCCCCCTCCCCTCCCACATCTCCCCCTGCTTCCCCTCCGCCTCCTCCTCCCCCGCCCCCCCTCCCCCTTCCCCCTGATTCCCCCCTTCCCGCTCCCCCTGTCATTAATGCGCAAGCAGTGGTCCCCCACCTGCCAGTTGGCGTAGTTAAAATACACCAGCGGCCGCACCGCCGCCGCGCTTACCTCGTCTGGCGGAGGTCCTTTCGCCCCGCCCGCGCCCCCCCTACTTTTTTCCCCTTTCCCCGCGGTTCCCTTCTTGACGCTGCTGCCGTTGCCGTTGCTCTTCCCGTCCCCGTCCTCCGCAGTCTCTTCCCCCTCAACCGCGCCTCTATCCCCGCTGCTGTTCCTGTTACCCTCGTCCCCGCCACCATTCCCGTCGCCGCTTCCGCCGCCGCCGCTGCTGAACTGTCTTCCCGTGATCCACTGAACGAGCGCCGTTCCGGGTTCGACGACTGCCACCGTGGCTTCCATGCGCGACTGCTTCCACGTGCCCTTCAGCCATTGGGCGCGGCGGAAGATGCTCGAGTACGCTGCCCGCACGCGCTGCCCAGGCCAAAAAAGAATGCTCTCCTCGTCGTCCGTTGCCGACGGTCTGACCGGATACAAATCGTCCGGGCTGACTTTGGTAACCCGACATTTCGCCCCGTCGTCGAGAACCAAAACGAGGTTATCCATAATATCGTCAACCCTTCCCACCCAGTCGCGGTAAACGACAAAACCTCCGGGTTTCACGGATCGGATCGGAACCAACCGCCTAGAATCCACATCTTTCAGAATCTCCCCCGACGAGAGCTCGAGATCCAATAGCAGCTCGACAGCTGTCACGGTCCCGGTTTGCCCCAGCGGATCGTCCGCGCGCGCCACGACGTCTCCGTGTAAGAAGCAACGGTCGATAATTTTAAGATCCTCGATTCGCTCCTCGGAAGGTTCCTCCGATCCGAGCCAGCAAATCCTGGCGTATCCGTCTTCTAACGAATCCTTGTCGTCATCCTCGTCATCATCGTCGCTGTCCACGTTGCCTGCCACGTCAGCAACGAGCCCGACTTTAGTGGGATCCGTCGCGCTAGTCACCAGATCTTCCACATAAAGCCGCATGGTCTGCGGTTCGTCTGTCTCCTCCTCGTCGTCTTCTCCGTCAGCGTCTACGTCATCTCCGTCAACGTCAACGTCATCTCCGTCAACGGCTTCTCCCTGCTCGTCCAACAGTCGCGACCTCTGGTCATCCGGACCGTCCCTATCCCTCAACCCGTCTAACCCCATCGAAACACGCGAATCTTCGCGTCGCGCCGAGCCGACCCGACCCGATCGCCCGGTCGCAGGTGTCCCCTGATTGGCTGCAAAAGCACGATGCTGTCGCGACCACGAAACGGCGACGTCACGACAACTCGCTCAGCGACCAGTTGCGATCAGCGTTTCATCCGAATTCCCAGCAACTTCAACAGCGGATCGAGTCGTCTTCTTTAGCGTCGGCCTCCTTCCGCTTCCCACGCCGAATTCAGTCGTAACGCAACTCCAGATCCCCGTCCGTTCCAAGAGAGAGCGAAAGGGGGAGATAAAACTAAATCCAGCTACCCCTCATAGCAGCACGTGCAAGTACGACATGAGAAGGCGATGACGCAATCCAGGCTGAGAGTGACTCGTGCCTTCTGACTCGTGAATTCTTCCAAGGATGATGATGATTCCGAGGAGGATTTTCTAGGAGGATCCCAAGGAACCAGATGACGCGGATGGGCATGCGGCGGAGAAGAATGGATGAGCAAACACAGAGGGGTCGAGAGGGGTCAATTTGAATAAATGGGAGGTACCGTGTGTTGCTGCCGTGTTGCTAGCTGGCTAGACCTGGGTACTGGAAATCTGGTAGCTATCAAACAAACATAAATAACAGCCCTTTATTACAAGACGCCATCGATACAAATATCTCCAAGGTATTTACATTGCATCAAACCGCTATAAATACTTTGAGTTTACCACATATCCCATGGTTCAGTTGTTATCGCAAGCTCCTGCTCACTAAGTCCCGGAAGCAGCATTTCCAACCCCTCCATTCCCCACGCATCTACCTCCAGCTGGAAATCCGTCTCATCAGAATCTAGAGACACAAGCTCAGCCTCGCAATCCCCGGAAGAACTATCGCTTCCGGGGCTTACCTCTCCAGCATTCCTACTCTCTTCAAGAGCCTTGCTGCTGTTGCTGCTGCCGCCGTCCAACCCTTCCAAACTCTCGATCTCTTTCGGCTCATTTCCATTTCCCCGCTGGCACACGCGTTTCATGCTAGAACCGCCGCCCACATCACCCTGCAGAGCATCGAACCCATCTCCACCGCAGACCCCCTCGCATCTCCCTCGTTTCCCTGGGCTTAAGCAGGATTGCTCACTCGCCCCATTCGTCCCATCCAATGCGCCTCGAGTTCCTTTCCCCTGAACGCCCATGGAATCAACCACAGGTGCTGCAGGAATGTCCGACGACCCTTCTATTTTCACCTGGGGCGCCCATGGTGACATGGCAGGGGCGGCTGCAGAGTCACAACCCTGCATTGCCACGTGGCACTTGGAGAGCCTCAAGTAATGCTCCAGGAGAATCTGCTGGGGGTCTCTCAATGTTGGGAGCGGGCTCGCTGGTGGGTACAGTGCCGACGATTGTGGTGTGGACGGGTGCGATGCAGTCGAGTGCGGTGCTGATGAGTTCGCTGCCGAAGGCTGCACAGCTGCTGGCGGTAGGCGGCTTACGGCAGGCGGCTGACGGCACAGGGGTTTCTGGGGCTTCTGCAGCGGAGCAGCAGCAACCGGAAGACTGAACGGGGGCGTCTGAATCGCGCCTAGCATCTCAGCTATGCGTCTCTTCTGACTCGCCCAAGCAGCAGTTGCTGGGACTGTTCCAGGCAGCTTCGCTGTAAGAGCCTGCAGAGCTGGTAGCAGGCTGAAGGGGGACGGGGTATGGGGAGAGACTTGCGTTTCCAGTGCAGGTTGACACGCAGCATGATGTGGTGAGGACTGCTGGAGTAGGCGCCAATTCAGCTGCTGCTGATTTTGCTGCTGCAATTGTTGCTGCTCCTGCTGCTGAATCTGGTGCTGCTGCTGCTGGTGCTGCTGCTGCTGCTGCTGCTGCTGCTGCGACGGCAAGGAAGAACGGGAACAGGACGTGATTCTCAAGGCTCGAAAGCCCGTCTCCGAGGGGGGCCTTCGCGCATCCCGCCCCGCCCGCGTTTGACCCCGAGAGGGGGAAGCCATTAAGCGGCGAACGAGTTAGCAGCGCCTCAGCATGAGCGGCCTGGCAGCTCGCCGCCTCGAAAGTCCGAGCTTGATTCGTCGCGACATTCGACGCGGCGCCCATGTTAGGTGGCTGCGCGCCGATTTCGCGGCCACAGCCCGAACCCCCGGCGCGACCGCCGCGAATCGCGGCGAGTTTGCGCATCTCGTCGATCTCAAGCATGAAGCGCGCGAGCCACGGCGACGGGCTGCTGGGGAGACCGTTGCTGCCGCCGCTGCTGGCGCCGCCGCTGGTGCTTGCACCGAAAATGATCGCAGTAGCAGTGGGATCAGCGATAGGAACGGGAGCAGGGGTAGCCTTGGGAGCAGCAATAAGGGCGGGAGCAGCGGCAGGAATGGGGAAGTTTGACAGCCGCGGGAAGCTGATATTCTCGCCGCTGTCGCGGAGGCCTTGGCGGAGGTGATAGCTCCACGATGTGCTTGTATCGGGGGCGGCGCCAGGTGCTGCTCGAGGGTGCGCCGCCTGACGGGTGTTGCTCGAGGGAAGAATCGCGACGGGGCCACTTCGTCCTCCGCCATTCGCGGCGCTCGGGACGGGCGATTCGAGGTTCTCGGCGCTGGCGGCCCGCGGGGGGGGACACGATCTCCCGTTCGGCGCAGGCGGGGGGGCAGGCGGGGGGGCAGGCGCGGGGGCAGCGGGGAAGTTGAGCACGGCGTCCGCGCCGTACAGCTTCCGCGCCGCGCGGTCGTATGCGCGCGCGGCTTGCTCCGCGGAGACGAAGGAGCCGAGCCACAGGCGCACCTTGCGCTGCGGCTCGCGGATCTCCGCCACCCACTTCCCCCACGTGCGCTGCCGCACGCCGCGGTAGCGAAAGAGGGAGTTATCCGGCCCGCCGCGCGCCGCCGCCGCCACTGCTGCTGCTGCTGCTGCTTCTGTTGCTGCGACAGTCGTGAGGCTTGCCATTCTATAAGCGAGTTTCCGGAGACTTGAGAAGGTCTTTTCGAGGACTCCAGTCGGGGTGAGGTAATAGCGGTTTCAGTGACCGAAAATCAACGCTCTGGACTCGAAATCCCGGATCCAAATCGGTGTGTGCGCGCCTAAGCTCGAGTCTACGCCGCGTATTCAGAGGTCGTTACTATGAGCGGACGTAGGCTTTCTGATAGGCGTGATTAAGAGAATCGTTTGTTGAGCCAACGAGAGTGAGTGCTTCATAAGCAGTCGGAGTTCGTTGAGTCTCGAAACTGACAGCCGCGTTGGAATCTGTTGTTGATACGAGATAAACTTTTGAGAAATCTCAAAATAAGTGAGCGAACTTCGGAGAACAAACGAATGAGACTCCGAGTCGTCGGAGCTCGAAACCGACTCTGCCGCGCTGGACGCGGGTAGTTATGAACGACGATGCAGTCACTGGAAGCCGTAACATGGGGAAATCGATGCAAAATGAACTACTATCCGTCCGAGCTTCGCTGTAATAGTCTGTTATGGACGATAGACTACCACCAATCTCTGGACTGCTTTGCCCTTCACTGCTCTCCCATGAAAGAAGGGATCGTCTCGTCGCTGACTCGCGGCTGTTGGCCATCGCGGATCGTCGCCGCGCCTCAGTAACGAAGCTCGTGAGAAGTCTGCGAGCAGGACGGGTATTGCAGTGAGAGTTGCACAGAAACGACGATGGCATGGCAAGTCGCCATGACCACCCGTGGGGCGACGGGAGGCGAGTGTCAACCTCATTCCTATTGGTCGCATGTGCCGCGGCCACACGGAATCATAGCATCGTACTGCGCTTACTGCGGCTGATGCGTCTCTTCGCTGCATCAAAGTCCAGCTCGAGAATTTTCCTGAGCTGGTTTGCTGGATTTGGGTGAAAAGGCGGTGACTTCACATTCGTGCAATGGAGGGGGAATATCGTGAGATACGGGAAAGAAACAGAAATGGATCTTGGAGCACATGGAACTTGCTGATGCGTTTGAAAAGGATCAGCTTTGCAGTGAAGGCAAAATTGTGCAGAGAGGGATGGAGAAAATTCGAATTCCAAAACGACAGGTGGTACGAATCGCGTTGGCAGAATTGCGCCGTGGAGGCGCCAAGCAGATCGCGGATATTGTTATGAGCGCAATTTACAAGATCACTTGGCGCGAAATGCTAAGTCTGGCGGGTGTAGTGTTTCTGTAAAAGTCTTTTCTATGTGCGAGTGAGTTCTGCCCGGAACGTCAGGCAACCTGACCTGATATGAAAAGTAACAAGATCTGCATCCAGTGCACATGGCGCTTGTGCAGTTTCAATTCCGAATTTCTATCGGATCAATTCTGGTGCACCGGTCGGTTCCCATTGCACCCAGTCCGTTGACTCATCCGCCACAAGAAACAGCTGTTCCTCACCCGTGCAAACGGGCGCTTTTGAACTGTAGTGATATGATAAGGAAGAGACACTCTCACCGCCATTTCTGTAGCGATAGATATCTGCGATGAGATTCCATGAGCCCAGCGAGGAGGAGTTTCACGTGCTCGTTTTGCAGGGCCAATGGAATTTGAGAAGCTGTGGTCGCGCTGGCACACCCACCAACGTTGACCACCATTCCCGTATCCAATGGATCCGGTGCGGTCGCCTTCACCACCACGAGGGATGGCAAGGTCCACATCGGACAGCCCCAACATCGATGTCTTGTAACGAGGAAAACTCAAAGCCATATGATGAGTGTGTTACAAACATGGAATCGTTTTCTTTTTGGTGAGAATCTTCAACACGCCCAACTTGGATAATAGAGATTGAAGTTTCTTCTAACTTATTCAGATATTCAATCGTGCATGCAGCAAAAAATGGGCCTTGGTCACTCAAAGGGGTTGATACGCGGATCGTGCTCCGTTGCAAGTGCCATTCCCGTGCACAAACAAGTAGGGCACATGACCTGATGTGGCGAAAAAGGGCAGGCAGGGAACGTATGAACCGCATGAACGACAGGTGTTACGTAACGAGAATGAATATCTTCAAAACATGCATAGTGAGCGAGACCGATAACGAATTTAAGAGCCCCCCCCACTGTCATGCCTGGTTCCCTGTGAAACCTCAGCCACCATCTGAAAGCCCAACCCCAACCCCATGCCAATGCCCCCTCTTCCATGCCCCCTCTTCCATGCCCCCTCTTCCATGCCCACTCCCCCGCTCACCTTGCGCAGGCCGGCACAATTCGGACACCGCTTGGCTACCTTCACGCCTTGCCGCCCAGCACCAACCGCTCCCCCTGCTCCCCCTGCTCCCCCTGCTGCTGCTCCCCCTGCTGCTGCTCCCCCTGCTGCTGCTGCTGCTGCTGCCCCATTGGCTGCAGCACCCCCTCCTGCCGCTGCTGCTGCTCCTCCGCCTTCTGCTGAACCCTCCCCTTCCAGCTGCACGTCTATGAGAGAGCCCGTGGCAGAGCAGCGCGCACACGCCAGATAGCCTGGAGAAGGGGGGTAGACAGGGAGACAGAAGAGAAAGTCGTATAGGATTCAACAAAAGTCAACCGAGTCAACAGCAGCACTCGCCCCTCACCCTCCAGCTGCAGGTCTATGAGCCAGCCCGTGGCAGAGCAGCGCGCACACGCCAGGTAGCCTGGAGACAGGAAGAAAAGAGGAGGATTCAACACAAGTCAACAGAGTCAAAGGATCAACTTGGCCCCACCCCCCCCCCCCCTCCAGCTGCAGGACGATGTGTGCAACCTCGGCAAAGCAACGCGCACAGGCCCGGCAGGCACCAGACAACAGTCTGTCTCCCTATCACATATCACACCCACGCACGCACGCGTGCGCGCACGCACACATAAATACCTGATCCATGACAGTACATACCTGATCCATGACAGTACATACCTGATCCATGGCAGTACATGCAGCGCTTGTGCTCCTGCTGCTTGACGTTATTCACCTCCACCACCAGCAGTGCTGACAGCACCCCCACCGCTCCGCCTGTGAAGGAGGCGACAATGGGGTCCACTTGGCTGCAGTGGGGGGGTTGGGAAGGGACGACAAGGAGTGTTGAGAAATAGCATCGCTGACAGCACCCGCACCGGCCCCCCTGTGAAGGAGGCGATTATGGGGTCTACCTGACTGGGAGGGGACAGAGAGAGGGGATGGTGTGAGGGGACGTTGGGAGGGGAAGAGAGATCAGCGCTGACAGCACACCCACGGCTCCCCCTGTGACGGAGGCGACTATGGAATCCACTTGGCTGTCATGGGAGGGGGAGGAGAGGAGTGAGTGGGAGGGGAGGAGTGTGAAGGAGGCGAGTATGGGATCCAATTGGCTGCGATAGGAAGGGTTGTGATGAGGGGACGGCAGGGATAAAAGTTAGGAGGGAGAGTGTCATGAAGTGCTGCGAACGATCAACGCAGCTGAAGGAGGCCCCCACCGCCCCCTGCGTGAAGGAGGCGACTATGGGGTCCACTTGGCTGCGATAGGAGGAGGATGCTGATGCTGATGCTGATGCTGATGCACTGATGCTGATGCTGATGCTGATGCGCTGATGCTGATGCTGATGCGCTGATGCTGATGCTGATGCTGATGCGCTGATGCTGATGCGCTGATGCGCTGATGCTGATGCTGATGCTGATGCTGATGCTGATGCGCTGATGCTGATGCGCTGATGCTGATGCTGATGCGCTGATGCTGATGCTGATGCTGATGCGCTGATGCTGATGCGCTGATGCTGATGCTGATGCACTGATGCTGATGCTGATGCTGATGCTGATGCTGATGCTGACGCTGATGCTGATGCTGATGCTGACGCTGATGCTGATGCGCTGATGCTGATGCTGATGCTGACGCTGATGCTGATGCTGACGCTGATGCTGATGCTGATGCTGATGCTCATGCTGATGCTGATGCTGATGCTGCTGATGCTGATGCTGATGCTGATGCGCTGATGCTGATGCTGATGCTGATGCTGATGCTGATGCTGATGCGCTGATGCTGATGCTGATGCTGATGCGCTGATGCTGATGCGCTGATGCTGATGCTGATGCTGATGCGCTGATGCTGATGCGCTGATGCGCTGATGCTGATGCTGATGCGCTGATGCTGATGCGCTGATGCTGATGCGCTGATGCTGATGCTGATGCTGATGCGCTGATGCTGATGCTGATGCTGATGCGCTGATGCTGATGCGCTGATGCTGATGCTGATGCACTGATGCTGATGCTGATGCTGATGCTGACGCTGATGCTGATGCTGATGCTGACGCTGATGCTGATGCGCTGATGCTGATGCTGATGCTGATGCTGACGCTGATGCTGATGCTGATGCTGATGCGCTGATGCTGATGCTGATGCTGATGCTGATGATGATGCTAATGCTGATGCTGATGCTGATGCTGATGCGCTGATGCTGATGCGCTGATGCTGATGCGCTGATGCTGATGCTGATGCTGATGCGCTGATGCTGATGCTGATGCGCTGATGCTGATGCTGATGCGCTGATGCTGATGCTGATGCTGATGCTGATGCTAATGCTGATGCTGATGCTGATGCTGATGCGCTGATGCTGATGCTGATGCTGATGCTAATGCGACGCTAATGCTGATGCTGATGCTGATGCGCTGATGCTGATGCTGATGCTGATGCTGACGCTGATGCTGATGCTGATGCTGATGCTGATGCTGATGCGCTGATGCTGATGCTGATGCTGATGCTGATGCGCTGATGCTGATGCTGATGCTGATGCTGATGCGCTGATGCTGATGCTGATGCTGATGCTGATGCGCTGATGCTGATGCTGATGCTGATGCTGACGCTGATGCTGATGCTGATGCTGATCCTGATGCTGATGCTGATGCTGATGCTGATGCTGATGCTGATGCTGAAGCTGAAGCTGATGCTAATGCGACGCTGATGCTGATGCTGATGCTGATGCTGATGCTGATGCTGATGCGCTGATGCTGATGCTGATGCTGATGCGCTGATGCTGATGCTGATGCTGATGCTGATGCTGATGCTGATGCTGATGCTGATGCTAATGCTGATGCTGATGCTGATGCTGATGCTGACGCTGATGCTGATGCTGATGCTGATGCGCTGATGCTGATGCTGATGCTGATGCTGTTGCTGATGCTGATGCTGATGCGCTGATGCTGATGCTGATGCTGATGCGCTGATGCTGATGCTGATGCTGATGCTGATGCTGATGCTGATGCGCTGATGCTGATGCTGATGCTGATGCTAATGCTGATGCTGATGCTGATGCTGACGCTGATGCTGATGCTGATGCTGATGCGCTGATGCTGATGCTGATGCTGATGCTGATGCTGATGCTGATGCTGATGCTAATGCTGATGCTGATGCTGATGCTGATGCTGACGCTGATGCTGATGCTGATGCTGATGCTGATGCGCTGATGCTGATGCTGATGCTGATGCTGTTGCTGATGCTGATGCTGATGCTGATGCTGATGCGCTGATGCTGATGCTGATGCTGATGCGCTGATGCTGATGCGCTGATGCTGATGCTGATGCTGATGCTGATGCTGATGCTGATGCTGACGCTGATGCTGATGCTGATGCTGATGCTGATGCGCTGATGCTGATGCTGATGCGCTGATGCTGACGCTGATGCTGATGCTGATGCTGATGCTGATGCGCTGATGCTGATGCTGATGCTGATGTTGATGCTGATGCTGATGCTGATGCGCTGATGCTGATGCTGATGCTGATGCGCTGATGCTGATGCTGATGCTGATGCTGTTGCTGATGCTGATGCTGATGCTGATGCTGATGCTAATGCTGATGCTGATGCTGATGCTGATGCGCTGATGCTGATGCTGATGCTGATGCTGATGCTGATGCTGATGTTGATGCTGATGCTGATGCTGATGCGCTGATGCTGATGCTGATGCTGATGCGCTGATGCTGATGCTGATGCTGATGCTGTTGCTGATGCTGATGCTGATGCTGATGCGCTGATGCTGATGCTGATGCGCTGATGCTGATGCTGATGCTGATGATGCTGATGCGATGCTGATGCTGATGCTGATGCTGATGCTGATGCTGATGCTAATGCTGATGCTGATGCTGATGCTGATGCTGATGCGCTGATGCTGATGCTGATGCTGATGCTGTTGCTGATGCTGATGCTGATGCTGATGCGCTGATGCTGATGCTGATGCTGATGCGCTGATGCTGATGCTGATGCGCTGATGCTGATGCTGATGCTGATGCTGATGCTGACGCTGATGCTGATGCTGATGCTGATGCTGATGCTGATGCGCTGATGCTGATGCTGATGCTGATGCTGATGCTGATGCTGATGCGCTGATGCTGATGCTGATGTTGATGCTGATGCTGATGCTGATGCTGATGATGCTGATGCTGATGCTGATGCTGATGCTGATGCGCTGATGCTGATGCTGATGCTGATGCTGATGCTGATGCGCTGATGCTGATGCTGATGCGCTGATGCTGATGCTGATGCGCTGATGCTGATGCTGATGCTGATGCTGATGCGCTGATGCTGATGCTGATGCTGATGCGCTGATGCTGATGCTGATGCTGATGCTCATGCTGATGCTGATGCTGATGCTGATGCTGATGCGCTGATGCTGATGCTGATGCTGATGCTGATGCTGATGCGCTGATGCTGATGCTGATGCTGATGCTAATGCTGATGCTGATGCTGATGCTGATGCTGATGCTGATGCGCTGATGCTGATGCTGATGCTGATGCTGATGCTGATGCTAATGCTGATGCTGATGCTGATGCTGATGCTGATGCGCTGATGCTGATGCTGATGCTGATGTTGATGCTGATGCTGATGCTGATGCGCTGATGCTGATGCTGATGCTGATGCTGATGCTGATGCTGTTGCTGATGCTGATGCTGATGCTGATGCTGATGCGCTGATGCTGATGCTGATGCTGATGCGCTGATGCTGATGCTGATGCTGATGCTGATGCTGATGCGCTGATGCTGATGCTGATGCTGATGCTGATGCTGATGCTAATGCTGATGCTGATGCTGATGCTGACGCTGATGCTGATGCTGATGCTGATGCGCTGATGCTGATGCTGATGCTGATGCTGTTGCTGATGCTGATGCTGATGCTGATGCTGATGCTGATGCGCTGATGCTGATGCTGATGCTGATGCGCTGATGCTGATGCTGATGCGCTGATGCTGATGCTGATGCTGACGCTGATGCTGATGCTGATGCTGATGTGCTGATGCTGATGCTGATGCTGATGCGCTGATGCTGATGCTGATGCTGATACTGATGCTGATGCTGATACTGATGCTGATGCTGATGCTGATGCGCTGATGCTGATCCTGATGCTGATGCTGATGCTGATGCTGATGCGCTGATGCTGATGCTGATGCTGATGCTGATGCTGATGCTGATGCTGATGCGCTGATGCTGATGCTGATGCTGATGCGCTGATGCTGATGCTGATGCTGATGCTGATGCGCTGATGCTGATGCTGATGCTGATGCTGATGCTGATGCGCTGATGCTGATGCTGATGCTGATGCGCTGATGCTGATGCTGATGCTGATGCGCTGATGCGCTGATGCTGATGCTGATGCTGATGCTGATGCTGATGCGCTGATGCTGATGCTGATGCTGATGCGCTGATGCTGATGCGCTGATGCTGATGCTGATGCTGATGCTGATGCGCTGATGCTGATGCTGATGCGCTGATGCTGATGCTGATGCTGACGCTGATGCTGATGCTGATGCTGATGCTGATACTGATGCTGATGCTGATGCTGATGCTGATGCTGATGCGCTGATGCTGATGCTGATGCTGATGCTGATGCTGATGCTGGCAATGAAATCCTCGTAGGATGTGCCACCCATCCATGCCCAGCCGCAAGATACTGCAGTGACTTGTATGGTGCGTCTGACTCAAACCCACCAGGTTACCTGAGAGGGCGTATGCTGCTCTGACAGAATAACGCACCTGAGCTGGCGTGGCAGGTGCATGCTGGCAATGAAATCCTCGTAGGACGTGCCTC